TTTAGTGCAGCTGTAGTCAAAGCAGGTTGTATTTTCCAAGGTGAGACTCTCTCCGGACTAGGAATTGTAGAATTCTCATCCCACCGTACCTTCAAAAACCATGACATATAGTCTTTAGTATGCAATACTATTAGCAACACCTTATATACTATAGACAAAATACTACCTTGAGGCATCTCCATTTAGATTCTGCCCATCTTTTGGTATCAGCATCTTCAATCCCAATAATTGTTCCAGTAAACCTTCAATTCATCAATAAATTATACGAATAATATGTTTTATAAATAATGATGGCTCAAATATTACACTATGAGAAACATCTAAAAACAATCAGTTTTCAGAAGTCCCTACAATGCCAAGAAATCAACATAAAAAATGCCGACATGCAGTAACCATGCCTCTGTTCTGGACCTTCTTCACCTTCAAATCTCATTTTGAACCTCATCCCTACAGAATAATTACTCTTGACAGATTCCATGTATTGATCAAACGGAACAATAAACTCAGCAGGGCTTGTCTTGTAATAAAGAATTAGTTAACAGAAAATACAAGAAACGCAAGTAATTTCATATTTGTTATCTCATTCCCCTGTTTTGACAATACATAGGTGATTTAGATAAGCAAATTTATGTAGTAGTCTGCCACATAATGAAGGCTTGAACCTAGTGTGGCAGATCACATTTCAACACTATAGAAAGCTATTCAATTCAAATATTTAGTAATTAAAAGTTAATTCTAAACCGACACATAGCTTAATACTAAACAATAGTCAACCCAACCCAAACACTTCTCATAATCCTCACAGTTACATAATTGCAAGTCAATCCAAGAAAGAGAAAAAAGAGATGGATGAGTGAATGAGATGATGGAAAATATCTTATTGAACTATCATAACTTGCACTCAGCCAAACCTTCAATTCTGAACCATCCAACAAGTTTTCTTTAGTGCAATTTCATCCTTGAAGTGAATATATAGTATAAGACACAAACCTCGGCTTGTAATAGACTGTGAAAAATGTTCCTGTCATGTATGCATGCCACGCTGTTGCAAGGACACCAATATGCATGCTGTGGCTGGATATGACAGATGATGGAATATTAGCCTGCTGTCTCATGGCTCGTCTTACTCCAACGCGAAGTTCCCCATTCTCACCTCTAAAAGTCCCGTGTTAAAATCATTCCATAAGTCAGTAACGAGTAGCTAACTTGGAATGTGAAAAATGTAAAGATGATTTGCACACCTTAAAAATATAAAAGCATCCCCGGTAACAAGCCTTTTAGAGCTTACAAAGGCACTCCAACCACGTTGATGTAGGTGCCTCTGTGGCTGACCTGCCATTTTCAAAATCACATGAGCTAAGATGAGGCACTAGAACTCAACATGAATAAACGTTTTTCCAATGGTAACCAAAATCAAATCCTACAAGAGTAGAAGTTTAAAACATCCCCAAAATAAGTATAAGCCTAGGACCCAGGTACATATTTGACAAGAGTAATGCTCTGGTGATTACATTTAAAAAAACCCTTTCATTTGATGTGGTGAGTTCAATGTAATGTTTCATCCAAATGCAGTCACTCTAGCATTACTCATTTGACATTGAATCATTCCCTACTGCCACATAGTAGTAATAACAAAAATAAATGTAAGTCCCTAACTTCTAGATTATGTATTTGTACACATGTAGCAATAACAAAAATAAATATAAGTCCTTACTGCCACATAGTAGTAATAACAAAAATAAATATAAGTCCCTAACTTCTAAATTTATTCTGCTTATGTATTTGTTATGTTCCTTGTACACATGTATTGTCCAAGTTATGTTTGTTTTAACATTTCTCAGGAACATCCCCAACATCAAGCCTTTTTACACATGTATGGTTATAATATCAAACGAACTAAGACAACCATACATATACATCAAATAGGAGAGAAATAATTTATCGAAGGAATAAAAATAAATAGAAAAGTATAAGCTAAATAAAATTCCATACAAATATACAGGATACAAGTTCACTGAACCATCTCCAATCCTTAACACTTTTATTATTTATTTATTATTTTTATCAAATTCAAATTTGACCAAAACTGCTAAAAATACATCTCTAAGCCATTCATCAAATCAGGAGAGTGACATTTTTTTCATCAAAATGAGAACTCATCAAACACGTCATCAAGTTAGAATTTGATGAGAATTTTAAAAAATGAAGCATAATTTGGAATAAGAGGGAAATTTTTAAAAAGATTCTGATGAAAGGGTTGAAATAATTCATGCAAAATCAAACTTTTTATTCAAATTTGAAAGCAAACTAGATAAAATAAAAATAAAAATAAAAAGCTTGATGAAGGTGTTGAGAAGCAAAACACAAACAAAAACCAAGGAAACTAACCAGTTTAGGAGATGGAAGAACATTGAACTTCTGGACTGATAAAATAGAGAAGTAGCAGGGCAAACCATCTGTGCTGAAATTTCCCAATAGCAGTCCCATCATTGCCATTATATATATGGAAAGTGTAGACAACTAGATATGAGTATACAATTACAGCCAGTCCATAATCAAGGAACCCTTTTAGATTTAGCTAGATTCGACCCTCAGATATGGCAGGAAGTAATAGAAAGATGGGAAAAAGATGCAGTAAAAGCATGGATGACTAGTCCGTATGAATCAACGGATATGTGGAAATATATGGAGAAGCCTTAAAGTTAGCCATACAACAGCTTGAAGATCTTTTAGCATAACTGTAGAATTAATTAGATAATTCTCAGCTCAATTCCAAATAGTGGTAGACCACTAACTCAACCCCCCAAAAATTATATAGTAGCCTTGGGAGCTCATATGTGAGCCAATGTAAACTTTGATTCAAGATTCAGAAATCAGCATCACATCTCTTCAAGTTTTTCACTATCTGTGCACTAAAATACACTACTTTGTGGAAAATTTTATTTACACATCATAAATTGGCTCATACACATCATTACTTAGTTCACATCTTTGATATTTTTAACCTTTGATATTTTACTCAAAACACACCACAATCTAACATGACAGAAAATAATAATAATAATAATAATTCGAATTCAGAACTGAAATCAAACAAGTTCAGAGCAATGCTATAAATATATATATATATATATAGAGAGAGAGAGAGAGAGAGGTGAGAATTGGAAGGTGAAGCGACAACAATTAAGAATTGAATGGTTCAGTTTGTACCTGTAGCATATAAGGAAGGATTGATTCAAACCAAAGATTCATTGAAAGGTGATCTATGGTTATGACTAGAGAGAGAGAGAGAGAGAGTTAGATTGACGAAAAAGTGTTCGAATTACAGTGAGAATGAATGATTGAATGAATTACAGTGAGAATGATACAGTGATCGAATTACAGTGACGAAAAAAAGAGTTAGATTGAATGAATGATTCGAAGAGACTCATTGAGACGAGAGAGAGAGAAAGAGAGAGAGGGAGAGTTCATACCGTTGGTGATCTATAGAGCGAAATCGATCACAAGCAATCCCATAGTTCTTGAGAATCGATCACAACCAATTTCTTCAGACATTTGAGCAAGCGAAATCAGATTTCATGATCGACCAAAATCAGATTCTTCATCATGACCATGGTCTCTTCTTCAGGCGATCGAGCGAGCAAAATCAGATTTGGGGGAAATCAGATTTTTCTCTGTTTGTGAATTGTAGGGAGTGTGAAAAGGGTAGGTATAAGAAAAGGGCAATATAAATAAAAGAAAAAACTATCAAGGTTGTAAATATTATTTTTTGCGACGGTTAAATAATCAGTCGCAAAAAATTAGTCACAAAAAGTCACTATTCTAGTAGTGAATAATTGAGGAGGTTGGTTCATGCTGTTTTGTGCGATATTGATTGATTGTGTGTTATATACTGTCAGAGTTGCTAATAGTGAGTTTCCACGGACCACGACATCCTATTGGTAATACCAGTGCCTATTAGGCCACGTTACTAGAACTACCCTTAAGATGTTAAACATTGTGTTGCCATGTTCACAATCTGCTTAGTTATTGTACAACAATTGTCTTTTGAATTCTGTAGGCATCATGTAGTTTAACTTTTTTGCTTAGCAGTTGACAATAACCATTTCTTTCAATGCATTGTTTCCCGGTTTATAGTAGTTTAGTATATAAAATTATCGACTAAAAATGAAATGAAAAGGAAAATTAATTTTGACATTACATGTGTGTGTAAAAGAGTTTTATGGAACAAGGGAACTTCTCCCATTTTGGACCCTTCTTGTGGCTTAATTCTATTTGATTCCTTGAATTATATTGGACATTATTCTAATTACGTTGGTTGGGTTTCCTAGTGAAAAATACCCCTTATGCCTGCCACTGGGTATACATGGTCTATGTTATACGAACTCTTCAAAAAATAAAATATCTGCGTTAGACACCCGATATTTAGATAAGGGTATGTGATATGTGTCGAATATTTCTCATATATTTCTATTTAAAACTATTATTATATGTACATATTGTTATATAATTGTCATACGTCTTTTTGACATTGTATAATACAAATCACACTATTTTAGCTCACATAATAGATTAAAATAATAAAAATATGACAATTTTTTGCTGAGTTTGTGTACCTTTAAATTTAAAATTTGATGAGCTTAGCCTTTAGATACACACCCGTATCCGACACCCAACACTTGTACCTGAGTCTATGTAACATAGTACATTCTTCCTGGAGAATCTTACTTGACCAATATTTTAGTTGTGTATTCTAACAAATGCTTGTCTGGACCTTACCATGATGTGAATTAACTTTTAAGCAATGAAACGGTGTTTGGTGTGTAAATTGTTTCCTAAGACCTTGGTGTCCATTTGCGCTGTCAATATGCTTTCTTGAGATTATATTCTGTGCATAGTACATGGATGAGTTTATCCTATTAGCAAGTAACATTAATATTATCGAATTCTTTTATTTTCATTGCATGATTGTAACATTTCAATTGTGTTCTTATCCACAGGGGTCTGGCTCCAAATGGGGGAGGTGTTCGTCGCTGATCGTTCGTGTTGGCTCCATTGTTGGGGGTCTCGTACATATGTTTCTCCTTTTACTGTCTCATTTACCTTAAAATTTCATGACGTACTTTCTTCTGAAAACTTATAATTTTAATCAGAACAATTCTTTTAATCTTACAGATACTTCCTCTGCCTCAAAATATTAGTCTTTTATTTCATTTTTCATTGTTCCAAAATATTAATCCCTCTTCAAAAATAATATAAATTTTTTATTTTGCCTTTTATTTAAATTCATAAACAATATAAAAAATACAATTATGATATTAATATTCCTCAAAAAATGTACTATCAAAGGATAATTTTGAAAATTTAATTTTTTTAAAATACAATAATTATACTACTAAAAAAAGTTAAATTCCTCAAAAGAGACTATTATTTTAAGATGGAGGGAGTAACAGTTTAGAACCTTGAACTTTGTCTAAAACAACTGTCCTTGTATGCACATTTTATCATTATCGGACATTCTTCCCCTTTTCTGGAAGGATATACCAGACTAGTTGCAAATTAATATATGAATTAGCGAATTGGATATTGTTATAAATTTTAGCTTCATATGCACCCAGAGGTTTGATCTAATCCGAGTCTGCACTGGAATAACGCCACCGGTCTGCACTGAGGAGCCCATTTGTACAGAGCTTTTGATTCCCTAAAGTGAGAAATTTTCCTATATGAAATCTAATGTACAACTACATCCTAAATTACAATCACCAACCTACAAAAAATTTTGGCAAGAAAAACAAAGAAAAATGAATATGAACTATATTTCACTTTCGATGATCAGTTCAGCAGCTGCAGACATTGTACCAACGCCACCAACCCCGAGCAAAGAGAGTGCGAGCTCCTCCTCATTCCATTGCCTAAGCCCTTTGCTCAGTCTCTTTAACACATCCACATCAACTTCCAACACCCAATTAGGTGTGCAAGCAACCATCAGGCTCAGAAACCCGGACACATAAGCACGCCAAGTGGCCCAATTACAACCAAGTGAGATCTTCCCATCAAGGGCACTTGCTAGAAATTCCATGTGTGGTCCAAGAATCTTTGGACGCCGTTTTGATGCCAACGAGGATGAGTCCACCCCCCAAGCAAAAGCTCCACAAAGCATAGCAAAGTATGCTAGTGCATACCCCCTAAGCATCGCTACCACCCCGCCTGAGCCTTCTTCGTGCTCAGACCTGTGAACAGAGATGAACCAAGATGGAAGCGTTTCTTTAATCAATGACTGAACTAGCGCCAAGCCACCGGATAACCATACCAAAGAAGCCCCGAGTGAAGCGGTGAGTTTCACCCGAGTCATTGCTGTAGCAAGAGAAACTTGTTCATGTCTCATTCCGTTCTTGGATTTCATGAGCTTCTCCAATCTCTCCTTTGGAAGCCCGCTAAATGCTATGTCTCTCACATATTGCATCAAGAGAGAAATAATATCTTCCCTTAAGAACATCATATCTCTGATGGATCGGTAAACACGGAGGTATAAGATCCCCGGGGCAACGGGCGAAATCCCACCATAGAAATGGGAACCGAATCCATGGCCAAGAAGTGCCCCAACACCTCCATCACTTGAGATAGGGTTCACATTCAGTCCAAGGGTTGCAGTGAAGCAGCTTTTGAGAAGTTGAACCACTGCATCATTGTTGTGGAGGAATACAGTACGTGAGGCAGAAAAAACAAGGAAGTCACTCCACTTTTTTGCCTTTTGGGTCCATAAGGAAGCCACGATTGGCATGCACGGCCATGGGCAACCAGCTGCAAGGGACTCCAAGGCCGGGCCTGCCAGATCGAGAAAACGTTGCGAGGCTTTGTCGAGTTTATAAGTTATAGTGAGGCTCACGAAGGCAGCCAAGGGCAGTGGAAGTGTTGCCGGAGAGCTTCCCCCTGCAAGAAAGACAAGATTCTAATATCATTAGATTGAAGAAGACGAGGAGATTGGATCTAAACATAAGAAGAATGATCGTATAAATAACCTATATTACATGGATTCTTCAAAATAAATCAAATACCCATGTAATACCTATGTCAGATGCCTGACACTTGGACAAGAGTGTGGGGGTATGTGTTCGTTACTTTCCATCAGACATTTCTCATATATTTGTAATTCACATTATCATTATATATATATATATTATTGTATAATCGCTATGTAACGAGTAAATTGACTTTTTGACACAGTATATTACATATAACACAATTTTCTTTCATACAACAGATTAAAAATATAAAAAAAAATGACCCCTTTTTTGATGAGTTTGCATACTCTTTTGAAGTTTGATGGATCTGACCTCTAGACGTGCACCTGTACCCGACACCCATACTGAGTCCATGTAACATAGTAAATAACTCATTTAGTCTTCAACCCCCTCAATCACTCCGCGCGCCCCCAATTAGTGCAATGGGATGTGTCTATTTATCTGTCTCCACTTGAAATGGGAGCAAGTTTGAAAAAGGATATTATAGTGTCTAGGTTGGGCCAGGAAGGTCTCTTAATGACTTCTTTTTTTCTTCTCAATTGAGTTATTTCACAGACTTGCCATGACTAGTTTTGAAAAATGGAACAGCTTTACCAATTATAACGATCATGATCATGTACCTTTAATCTTCTTGACTCCCTATTTCATACAATTTTCAATGCCACATGTACAACAGAACATGAGGACAGTTTTTCTTTTCTTTTCTTTCCATTTTTTTTTTTTTTGGTTTTTGTTTTTGTTTTTGTTAACAGTTATTAATGTGGTATGCAAATCCTTAGAAAAAATATAACCAAAAAAAAAAAAAAATCATGGAAAGGAGAGAAGGAGAAAAAACCTTCAACAAGGCTGGGGACATCAACCCCAGTGGCGGCTACGATTTTCTTAATCTGCTCCTCAACATTAGACAGATTTGCAGCGGGGCTCGGCCAATCTGTTCCGTTCATAAAAACAGGCTTCCAAATACCCCGGGTTACTTCAGCAGAGAAGTAGCTCACAATAGTTGCCAAAGATGCCGGAAGAAAATCAGCCAAATCTTTTAGCCCTGAAAAAAAATAATAATAATAATTTAGAAAGCAATTTATCGCACCCGAATTCCGTCTGTATTTTTTAGATCTTCCTTATATTCAACAGTTATTTTGTAACAAGAAATCTATAAATTACCAACAAGAATCACATACACAAATGAGCCTAACCTGTACATAGTTCACGAGGAGAGAGTCTTCCGTGGGCACAGGCCGTTAGCGCAGCATCGACCACGAAAGGAACAGCTTCAAGGACATCCCAAGCTGGTAAGTTATGTCTTAGCGAGTTATCTTCATTTCCAGGTCCAGATGAACTACTACTTCCAGACATTACAGAACTCAAAGACTGGCTTGCTCTACTTATCTTTATGAACATCATGTTAAGAAGCGCATCGACAATTTGATGGACAGGGGTCCCATGAACAAGACCTGAGAGGGTTGAAGCAATACATGCTTGATGTTGCCGATACCATACTTTTAGTTTCGGAAATGAGTCCACAAATATGGGATTTGGAGACGATGAACTTGCAATGGCTGAAAGTCTCCTTTTATTTCGATCACTGTGGATGTTTCCGGTACACACTAGATGGGAGTTTCGTAGAAATAGGAGGTATTCGGGAGTTAGTTGGGAACCAACTGGTGGTACATCACCCACTCCATGTTCAAGAGGCGGATGATTAAACCGCCATAACTTTAGAAGAAGTGCAAATGCGTTTGAAAACACGGCATGGGCAGAGATCTCTTCTCCTGTTGGGAGAGTCCATGAGACGACATTGGGCACACATGACCCGAATACCTCACAGATTGGCATCAACGAACCTGCAAGTTGCGGAATCTGGCAAACAAGGTACAAAAGTGGAAAATATCAGTTCATATTTGAATTGAAGATCCTGGTAGCATCCCAATCTCTCAACTCATCATATTTGAAGTGAATCTTATGATTCACAGTTTGATATGATTCACAATTCACTATTTTAGCGAAATGATTCAAAATTCGATTCGTGATTAGACAACAATGTTACTCTAACTAGAAGGGCAAATGTCTCTTCTTTTCTTTCATGAGAATTGTTGGTTTGAGCTATTCAAGAAACTATTCAGACCAAGGAAGCTATTAGAGTGGAAGTTGAACATACCAAGCCATGTAGGGAGAAAATCTGAACACAGTCAACAGGTGCTATTCCGACAAGGAGGACATTCAGCATTGGACCATAACCTATCAACACAATTTTCTTTCATACAACAGATTAAAAATATAAAAAAAAGATTAATCTTGTGATATAATAAGCAGTGTGTTCCTGCAAACATCATGACCTAAACATGATTACAACAGTAAAGATGGAAAGGAAGAAAAAGGAAATGACTATTGTTTTGTGCAACCCCATGTAAATGTAGTAACTTTGACTGCATTACCTGTATATTCCAACCCTGAATTAGAGAGGCTCCACAGAGAACAGTAGCAGCAGCAATCTTCTCATCATCTGATCCTTTGACTGCAATCTCAAAGACTTTCTCGAGCTCTGCTAAGCTTCCATCAAATCCATGAGCTTAAATTCAGTTGCTTTACCCTTTGGCTAAATCAATAAAAAAGAGCATCTGATATACCTGGCTTCAGGAAAGAAAAAGGTGTAAACTGAAGACCAGGTCACGGTAAAGGAATATGGAAGGGGATCTGAATGTTTTACGTGATTCACATAGCATCACCCTCAGATTTTTGTACATTGGGGTGACCAACAATGAATAGAATGACACTAATGTGAATATCTGAAGGACATATCCCCCAAAATTTACCGTTACAGATCAAATTGTATTAATTGATCTTGGCAACTGGAATGTCCAAACTCCATTTTCACTAAAGGGTTACATGATAAGAAGCATCGACACTCCAAGATGGGTGGCATGTTTGTGTCCGACACGCCACGCGACATGTCAATTTTTTAATAATTATATATATATTTTTTGTAGGACTCGTTGGGAGCACTTCACAAACACGTGTCTTGTGTTTGGACACGCCTCAGGACACTTTTTGTAGCCTTTTTTTTTTATATATAATTTTAGAAAGCTGATTTAAGTAAAATATGAAAATAATGAGGGAACAAATAGAAAAAATAAAAATACACCCACATATACATCGATGCATCCCATATATATGAATCCTAAATTTAATTTCATATACATAGTAAATAAATATATAATAAAAAAAAATTCCGTATCCCGCTGTGTCCGTGTCCTAATATTTTGAGAATTGTTGTGTCCCATGTCCGTACATGTGTCCGTGTCCATACTTCTTAGGTTACATGTAGTTGACAAAAATAGATGCATCATTCCATTAGATAAGGCATACCAAAATGCTCTCTTATTAAAAATTTCCATTGTCAACGCATCCTATCCACCCAATCCCCATCATAGAATAATTTTGAAACCTAATTATACAAAAAATATGTCTAGTGAAGCATTGTATAGCAACCGCAGGTCTCAAAATCAGACAGAGACATGGAAACTTCATGGGAATGACTTGTTCGAATTAGAAGCTCTGTTTAATAAATTCCACCAAACAATCGGGTCAATTAAAAATACATGAATATTTGGGAGGGATAATTGCGAGTATACCTTGAAGCAGGAGTTGAAACTAAAGCTTTTATCATGATTGGAGTAAGCGGGGCCCCCTTCATGAATGATGACCAACCTGGCACCTGAACTGGCAATGTATGAGGTATTTGGTTGATGCGTCCATTCACATAGCCAGGCCAGAAATATGCTGATGTGTCCAGTAGATTTCTGGCAATACAAGCCTCTACAACCAAATGGTGCATGTTTCCAGCTGCAAACAAGAATATAACTTTCATTAGATTGGACAGTGTCGTGGAGAAAATCACAAATGTAACTAATGTAGGACAAGTGCATGGTACACTCGTACAAGTAGTGAATCCAAAACTAATGCAAGGTAGCAGTGAAGAGGGCTATAGTTTTAGGCTTAAAATTATTCTATGATGGTGAAAATATGGTAATAATATGTAGGCTTTTAGGGTGGTGTAATCAAAGATTAGGACTATAGCAGTTTGGGAGTGAAAGGAAATGATTTTGGGGCATGTTCAAGGGCTGTTCTGATTGTTGTGAAACCCTTTGCTGGTTTTGTATTTTTACAAGCTCGTGTTGAAGGATTGAACGGAAAGGGTTTAGGATTATATATTAAGGTTTGGTTTACTCATTCCGATCATGGTATTCAAAAACTTTTTTTGGGTACATAATGTTTTGGATGAAGGTATTGCATTCAGAATTAAAAGAGATTGTAAGTGAGTTGTAGAGTGGGCATGCAAAGTTTGAAATGAGTGAGTTGGGTGTTAAAGATTTGGAGGATGGGTATTCAAACTATGTGATCTTAGGTGTTCAAATTATGAGAAGTGGACTGATTAACATATACATTACCTATACCTCCTTCTCCTCTATATATATATATATATTAAAAATAAAAGTAAAAACAAAGTTAGAGTACTAGTGCCATCGCCTCCGCTCAGCCACAAGTTAGAATGACCTTCAAAAGACCCTTGAAAAATGCAGAGTGAGCCTCATTGCCATGCATCTAGACCGCACGATATCAACCAACTGAAATTTTTGCCAAAATTTCTGATGGTATTTGAGAAAAAAGATGCTACTTACAACAGTTCATTGGCATGTCTTTCATGCTGCAGTCAAAGTACGCACTACCAACACTGATGCCTGAAATAAACATCACTGCTTTTGCAGCAGCCTGATTGGCTGCAGAAATAACTGATTGAGGTGGAGTCAGCAAGCCTTGATAATCACCCAGACTCTGTAAGCTGGATACCAAATCCCTACGACGCTTTCCAGGAACCCACTTTTCTTTACAGCGAGTACTGTCAGTGTCACCACATTCCATTTCATCAATTGGTGCACTTTCCTCTTCCTCAATTAGATCAGCAACCACAAGTGTTGTTATAGTCAACAACATGCACAAGCGAGTATCAAGGCGAGGCATAGGGCCCTCAATTGGATCCCTCTCCTAAAAGGTTATAAAACATAACATAAAACAATAGTTTCTATAGACAGAAGAGAAGCATAGAAAAGAAAATGAGAGCCACGGAACGAGAAAATTTGTGTTCAATGGAGACAAATACCAACCCTTTGAACAAGACGTAAAGCCGCCATCCAAAGACCTAAAAAGGTTTCATGCCAAGTAGTGCCATTAATTGCTTGAAGAGCCTTTATCAAACCTATAAAATCAAAACCATGAACTTTCATTCTACCAGGCATGGTTTAAAAGAATAATACCATTTTTCTTGAATTACTAAAACTTTGAAGACCAGGAAAAAATAAGCTTTACCAGTAATTATTTCAATGGAACTAGTTGCATTAACTTGTGAACCATCCATTGCATCTTCTAGCACCAGATCAAGAGGAAGCCAAAGGGCAGAACGACTAGCTCCGTGACAAAGGCCAGCGGAATTAGACAGACACCCTGAAGCCATAACCTCATGGAACTCTTGTAGTGAACTTGTTTTGCATTGCCGAGACAGAACTTTGCGAGTATCTGATGTCAGCTGCAGAAGAACCTCTGGAGTTACCTCTGAATTTCCCAATGCTGATGAATTCGCTGCAAGCAACTGTATTCGCTGGACAAAACCTTCCCAATGAGTGGGCCTGTTGAAGTGGCAACCAAGGAGTAAAATCATCGTCACTCAATGTGAAAGACAAGGAGACAGGTTCAGATATTGAACAAAATGGAATGGAATGGAATGGCAAGGCTGGATTCATGAAGCGATTCCCAAATAGAAGGCAATACTTTGATGACCCTAAAAGTGACATCAGTTTTACATGTCAATTTTATGACCAAAATTCTTATTCAAAAATTGGTTTATATACATATGTGAGATATGTATACATTTTCCTCTCTAGTCATAAAAGTAGCGTGAGTATATATTTTCTCTCACATCATAGGACAGGAGAAGATGTATATACATATCTCTCACGTATTGTAAATAAATCAACTCTTGAAGGAGCATTTTGGTCATAAGATTGGCATGTACAACTCCACATGCAACTTTTTTTGTCCTCTTTTCATAATAGAATGTTAACAGAAGGTTGAGATTGAAACAAATCAAAAGATTAAGGGGACAAATTTTAGTTGAGGGGGGTAAAGTGATAATGGTCCATAGTTAAGGGAGGTAAAGTGTAATTTGCCCTATAATTTATCTAGGGAAGAGATGGATCTTTCAATTAAAAATGAATGGTTTTATCAATACATGAATGTACAATGGACAAGGAATTGGGCTCAAGCTTTCCTGAGCATATCATAAATTTTTCCATTCTAAAGCCCTGAAGAAAACAGAAAGCTCTGCTTCTAAAGTGGATCAATAAATATGAGATAAACCAATGTTATGCAGTTTGCTTCACTTAGACACAGTAATAAGTAGAATTCATGAAGCATGAAAAGCAACAAAGGAATGAAGTTCTGACATGTTTTGGCGTGCCAAGTAAAGAATCCTGGAAGTTACTTTATTTTGTAGAAATTGCCCAATCAACTCTATTGCCATCACAGTATTTAGATTCAGCAACCTGTCTTGATGTTCAGTCCTCTTCTCATCATAATTATCATCACTGTCTACTTCCATATCTTGAGGTTTATTTAGCCATTGAGACTTTTGTTCTGGGGTCCGCTCCAGCAACCCTTCATCATCTAAGGAGGCATCAAGCAACTGCCAGACAATTGAAAAGATAAATTCAACGAGAACAATGCCCGGTTCACTCGCTTGCAGACCAAATATTTGGGAGAGATGAAGAATGTTGTCTATCAAATTTATGATCCTGCATGAAGAAAACAAGTTAGAAAAAACAAATTTAAAGCACGACGCTAAGTGGTAAGATGGTTTATTATATTCCCGTTAATGAAAAGGGGGAAAAAAACAATAAAATTTCGTTTATTATATTCTCAAGACATACGTATATATCCCCTTAGACTCAAGCAAGTAAAATGGAAAATCATTAGTGATACTGATGAAGCGGAAACGTGTAATAGAGAAAGTAGGGTATCGATCTGAGGGTCCGTTTATCAAAAGAATCAATGCCGGAAGCAAGGTTAGCATATCGAGAATAAAGGCTCAATAATGGTTGATTCAAAATGAATGCCCAAGGTTGGAAGAAGAGTACAAGGAACAAGCCTACAACAAAGTAATGCAAGTTCCACTATCTGAATAAAACCGAAATAAGGGGATAGCTTGAAAATCATGCAAATATATTCATTTACAACTATAGTCAAGCGTAAATGTATTTTCTTGCTTTGATTTCCTATCAATCATTTCAATAAGTGGCGCAAGAAACAACATAAAATGAGCTATCCGAAATAGTGCAACCTAACAACTAGAAGTAAATACATAGTAAAGCAGAAGGCAAAAGATCATAAGCTTAAGCATATTAACATTTAACAATAAGTAGTGAACAGGCCGAGATTAGGTTCTCCTCTTATATGATGTATCAAACAAAAAAACAAGAACTCACTTGTGAAAATTTGGCCCATCTATCTGAGATTTAAGTGTCAAAGCATGTCTCTTAAGGAGTTCCATATAAAGCCTGTATGCTGTTGGCATGGAACGCCGGTTTGGAATAACCCTGTAGAAAAAGGATTGTTACAATGAATGTCACATAATAGTGTGGCAGAGAAAGAGCAGTGAAACTACTACAATACAACACTTCTCCTCGAACAAATTCTGCCAAAAAGTTGACATACTAGCGTGTTAAAATGCAACACTAAAAGGAGAAAATTACACTCTTGCAAAGCAAAGAAATGTCAAACATTTGAAATGTGTTGTAATGCCTCATAAGTTATGGCATTACTAAGTATTAAAAGCTATGTTACATGGACTCTTCAAATTAAATCAAATACCCGTGTCGGACACCCGACACTCGGACAAGGGTATGGGATATGTGTCGGATACTTTTCAACGGATACTTCTTATATAATTGTATATAACACTATTATTATATGTATATATTGTTATATAATTGCTATAAATGTCATTTTGACACTATAAGTTAAATATAATACCATTTTATCTCACATATTAGATTAAAAATATAAACATACTAGCGTGTTAAAATGCAACACTAAAAGGAGAAAATTACACTCTTGCAAAGCAAAGAAATGTCAAACATTTGAAATGTGTTGTAATACCTCATAAGTTATGGCATTACTAAGTATTAAAAGAACCAAATAAATCCGACCATAGGACACCAAGAGATCCCACATATCCAGAATAAAAGAAAAGGTCGTGCCAAAAAAGTTCAAATATCAATGTATTTTTGACATATCCCAAATCATTTTCACTTATTTTAATAAAACTTTTTATACATTTCAATACACTTTTACACATCTAACCAACTTATTGACAGCCCAAAGGGGTGTCATTAGCATTTTCCTAGAAGATGCAAGAAGAGATCTAATCACGTAAACCTTGAACAAGTACATAATTAACCACCAATTCAGTCTCAATCACAGCTAATGCATCACCTAAATTCCAAATTAAACACTGCTTCAAAACACAGATCATGTTGTGCTCATCGATATGTAAAAAAGTAAAACGTAACTTCAAAAGAATTCACAATAAATTACTAGGAAGGTAGTATATAAGCAAATATACCAGTGAAGAGTAGATGAGAAATTGACAACACACCAAACCACCAACCAACAACATTGCACCACAACAAAGTAAAAGACATATCATCACTCATGATGAACCAAAAGAATAAAACAAAAAACAGTTCAACCACAAACAGGAAAACACTTTGTACCATCTCTGGAAAAGAAAACAACAATTAGAACATGACAATATCAAGGAAACACATGTATCTTCTCAAACACACACCTCCACCACCCTTTCTTCCATCAAAGAAGTAGAGCTCTTTGCCTGGTCGATCGGCTCATGTCCGAGATTAGTCTATAAAGAGGTGCTGGCCAGACACATGGTTATCAAAAAAAAAAAATAGAGCTCTTCTTCACTGAGACCAAGAATCAAACAGTTGGATTCCAAACAAGGGCAGCCCTCTACCAATCCAATCACAATCACAATCACAATCGTCCAATTGTATAGCGGGACCCACCTTAAATCATGGTGGGTGATTGTTTAAAGAAACACACACTTTACACCCAATCACTCATCCACTCTAAACTAAAACCCAAAATCCACCCATCAAATTAGGACGGTCAACGAGTCAAGCCAAGTAAGTCATTCAAGTTTGATTTGAAAATTAAACTAGTTTTACAATATATTCAATTTCAAGCAAGTTTACTGTCAGTTTGGTATATCAGGTGAGGAAGAAAATGATTACTTATGAGAATATATATATATATATATATATATTTGTGTTTCTCACTATTAAAAAAACAAGCAAGAGAAGGATACTATTTGATAATTCCTATTCTCTCTTTATATTTTAATGGGCAACCTTGGCTCACCAAGCCTCACCATCAACAACCACTTTTTGTGTGAGAAATAAAATAAGTAAAATAAGAAAATTATTTTTCTCATAATTTTTCCCTCAATTTATAAACAAAAGATGAGAAAATCTCTACATTTCTCACCAAACCACCACATCAAAACAGACTATACTAAAGCTTAATTTGAAATCACTATAAGATGTATTTAAACTTTTACATTACAAACCGATTTTAAACGAGTTTACAAACACGAATCGAACCTGAATACCTTGTCTACTTCAAGTCAACAAACAAAACCCAAAAAATGCAAAAACAGAGGAAGCAGAAACAGAGAGAGAGAGAGAGAGAGAGAGAGAGAGACCTGTAAGAAAGGAGAGCGAGGACGAGAAAAGGTGGGACGATCTGGAAAGCCAAGGCCTTTTCTAGAAACTTCCATGCGATGGGTACGTTGTTGGCCCAACAAATGTGAGAGACAAGAAGGTTAGCGAGGTGAGGGGAGGGCAGAGAAACACCTGCAGAGTTGAGATTGGAAGAGAGCTGAATTACCCACAACAGAGGATCACTACCCTTTTCTTGGGCGACCTTTGTTTGGTTCAGGACACTGTCCCAGAGACTACTCTGTACAGTTAACACAGCCATTAATGGATCATTTGCACAGAAAGAGAGAATTTAATGGGGGGAGAAGAGAGAGAAAGGGTGTTAATGGAGAGAGAGAGTAGCCAACAACCAACTACTGGCTTATACTTTTTTCAGAGAACTAGTTGTTGTTGCCAATTTGATGTGAAACTTGCAGGTCAAAGTGAGTGGGTGAGGTGGGAGGAAACACAGAACAAAAAAGAAACAAACAATGTTAAAGCTCATAATTTAAAATTTATTTATAATGATAAGAAAAGTTTTAGATGATTAAAAAATGAGGGTTGGTTTGGAAAATAACTTTGGTTGGTTTGGAAAATAACTTTTTTTTAATAGTTATTTGGTTAAAATATAAGGGAAGTTAGATTTGGTTTGGTTTTAAAAAAAAAAAAATTTGGTCAAAATCTTTTTATAATAAAATTTTAACATATTAAAGATAAGTATAAAAAAATTAAAAAAAATGCAACACATATTATTATTATTAAAATATTAAATTTTAAAATAATATAATTTTTGATATATATGTCGATTGTTAATAAAATTAGTATTTTTAAAATTCTGTCATCAAGATTTATCAAATAAGATATATGTTGATTATGAAATTCCAAAAAAAAAAATTTATTATCACAGAAATTGACGTAATCAATAACAGTTACATGTTATTCTGTCCCACAGTAACATATTACTCTATTTAAAATGTTACCTTGACAATATTGTCCAAGAAAAAACAATTTACTCTATCCTTACTTAATTATATGTCTTCTCCTTAAGGGGTTTATGAAACAAAATAAATTGGACTATTTTTTTCACTAAATAAAGGTTTAATGGAGGGATTTTAGCCAAATTTCCCTTTAAAAAACTTATGTCATATTTTTTTAAATTAAAATTTAATTTAGTGAAACAAATAAAAAACAAAAAATACTTATTATTTTATCTTTTAAGAGATCAGAAATAATACTAGTTTATTTAATCAGAAATACTTATTATAGTTTGGTTTCTATTTTTTTTTTTTTTTTAAAAACAAACCAAACAAGAACAAAGTATTTCAAAATAGTGTTCTTTTTTTTCTTTCAACGAAAAAATGACAAAAAATAGAGAGAATGAGAATATATTTTTGATTTTTTGTCTAAATTTTTAATTTGTTTAATAATTTTTTTTTACTAATTTAAGTTATTGTCAATTGGCCCTAATAAGAGAGAAATTTTTACAAACTCCTGTTTGGTAACGTTTACGTTTTCAGTTTATATTTACAAAAATTTTATAAATTAGTTTTTGTTTATTTTTAGAAAAATATAAATTACAAATGCGTTTGGTAATTGACAAAATATTTAAAAAAAATTAAAAATATAAAAAAGAGTGAGAAATGGTAAGTGATGGCAAGTGGCGGCGGAAGACGGTGATGGAAAGTGGTGACAGTGGGTGGTGGGTAGCTGGTAGTGGCGGGTGGGTAGGTGACGGTGGTGGGTGGTAGCGAGTGGGTGGTGGTGGTGGTGGTGGTGGGGATGTAGCAAGGTCCAAGAAAAAATTACACAAAACTTTTTCAATCTTTTAAGAAACAAAAAAAAAAAAAAATTGAAATATTTAAAAATTAAAATTTTCTTTCCATTAACAAAACGGAGTTAATTGTTAAGGAGAAATCACTAATGCTGTGTTTGGTAACGTTTACGTTTTCAGTTTATATTTACAAAAATTTTATAAACAGGTTTTTGTTTATTTTTTGTTTATTTTTAAAAAAATATAAACTACAAACACGTTTGGTAATTGACAAAATGTTTACAAAATTTTAAAAATATAAAAAAGAGTGAGAAATGGCAAGTGGTGGCAAGTGACAGCAAGTGGTGGCGAAAAACGATGGTGGAAAGTGGTAACGGTGGGTGGTGGGTAGCAGGTGGTGGTGGGTGGGTGACGGTGGCGGGTGGCGGGTGGTAGCGAGTGAGTGGTGGTGGTGGCAGTAGCAGGTGGTGGGTGGTGGTGGCAAGTGGGTGGCGAATGGCAGGTGGTGATGGGTGGTGGCGGGTGGGTAGTGATGGTAGGTGAGTGGGTGACGGTGGCAGGTGATGGGTGGTAGCGAGTGGATGGTGGTGTGGTAGGTGGTGGTGGCAAGTGGTGGCAAGTGGGTGGTGAGTGGTGGTGACAGGTGGCAGGTGGGTGGTGGTGACGAAAGACGGTGGTGGTAAATGGTGGCGGGTGGTGGCTAGTGTTAGGTGGTAAAAAAAAAAAAAATTCAAATTCAAAACGGAAATACATTTTTTGAGTTTACATTTTTTGGCCAAATTTATAAACTGAGACTACTGATTTATAAATCAAAAGTTTACTAAATAAGTTTTTATTTAAGTTTTTTAATTTTTGTAAATATAAATAGAAAATTAAAAATATAAAGTGTTACCAAACGGTACATCAATTATTAGTTTTTTTTTTTTAAAAAAAAGATGGTGATTTGAAGGCCATTCGTCGAATCATGGGATTAGAATGGTTAGGGTTTTCGGTGGATAATAAAAAAATATTTTATAGGTTATGTTTGGAATAATATTTTTTTTTTGATTATTTCAGTTATGAAAAGACATAATAGATTAAAAAATTAATAGGATAAAATATTACATTTAAACTATAATTATCTAATTTTTTCTCTCATAAAAATTAAAAAATTTAAATAATTAAAAAATTAAAACATTAAAAAATCAATCCACGCTCCGAACGTAGACATAGAAAAATGTGATGTCACAGGTCTATTTTTAGCTTGAGTCAAAAGTAAGTTGAATTTTCTGCCCCTTTTTTTCCATCCAATGAATAAATGACAGATCTTTCTTTCTTCTACTTGTCTCGGTTGATTATGTCTATGTAAAAAGTCAATTGATAAAAAATAAAGTGTAAAATAAAATTATATTCTTATTTTGTATTACTATGTAGTAACCTAAATATATTATAATATTGGGTTAAACAATTACTTTTTTGGCAACTCTTTTATTTATTTATTTTTCATTTTTAGCGACAATGTTTAAAAACAATCAACAAAAATTTCACTTTTAGATCTTATTAGGTCACACATGAGTGATTTGAGAAGTTGATTAAAAGTTAATTTTTTAAAATTTTTTAATTTTTTAATTTTTTTGTGTGTAAAAAATATGAAAGGTAATGTGATTCAAAATTAGTTAAAAATTAAAAGTTAATTTTTTTTTTTTGACTTTCCAAATGACCCCACAGACATGAAAGCAAAAAATAATTAATTTTTAAAATTATTTGAATAAATTACAAATATATTCCTAAGGTTTGATTAAAATACGAATCACTCCCTGTGGTTCTGAAAATTATATTCCACTCCTGAGGTTTCTAATTTCATAATAGATTGCCACTTTTATTAATAAATTATCAAGTCAATTAATAGGATTTAATGATATTAGAAATATATTTCAATTAATAATTTAGATAATTTTATTATTATATAGGAGAATAATTATGAATTTTTATTTTTTTAATTAATTTTGTTAAATAAAAATTTTAACAATGATTTATTTGTAATTTTCAAAACCATAAGAGACAACTCGTATTTCAAGCAAATCTCAATAAATGAATTTGTAAGTTACCCATACTTTTTATTATATATAATATAATATCAACCTTTGAATAATGCTACATAACATTTTTTACATATCTAAGCTATGTATTCACGCCGAAACATGATTGCAATTTATATATTAATCATTAAAATACATACGACTTTGTCTTTAAATATTTCAACAATGTTAGGTAACTCGAATTTTTTTTGTTCGAATGTGTCAAAACGGCGTCGTTTTTGACACATTCGAACCATACAAATTCGGATCACCAAACATTTTTTTGAATATTTTTTGCACCTTCAACCTTAACCAAATCTCAAATGTCTTAAAAAAAAGCTTAATCAAATCTCAAAATTAAAGTAGGTTGCAGAAAATGACAAGCTCAAACACCCCCACCCCTCCTTCCTCCAACTTCTTATTCACATATCTAAATAAATTACTAAACTTAAAATCTTTTAGTTTTGGTAAATTATACCCCTGAGGTTTTCAGGTAATAGATCAATATCCCTGAAATTCTAAAAATTACATTCACTTCCCAAAAGTTTGTAATTGCATTATAAAAACCATTCTGTTAATTAACCATTAAGTCAAGTCAATTAATCGATTTTACTTATATCTAACATTTATTTATTTTTTAAAAATGTCTTATTTACCCCTTTACATCTTTTCTTTAACACGATAGTACCATCTGTCTCACCCTCTCCATTAGAATGCAGAAATAAAGCTTCATCCTTACCACCCTCCACATTCTCTCTACCACCATTTAAGCCATCAACCATCACCAACTACCACCACCCTACACCCTCTCTTTTAGTCATCCCCAACCAGTGATGTCACAGGTCTATTTTTAGCTTGAGTCAAAAGTAAGTTGAATTTTCTGCCCCCTTTTTTTCCATCCAATGAATAAATGACAGATCTTTCTTTCTTCTACTTGTCTCGGTTGATTATATCTACATAAAAAGTCAATTGATAAAAAATAAAGTGTAAAATAAAATTATATTCTTATTTTGTATTATGTAGTAACCTAAATATATTATAATATTGGGTTAAACAATTACTTTTTTGGCAACTCTTTTATTTATTTATTTTTCATTTTTAGCGACAATGTTTAAAAACAATCAACAAAAATTTCACTTTTAGATCTCATTAGGTCACACATGAGTGATTTGAGAAGTTGATTAAAAGTTAATTTTTTAAAATTTATTAATTTTTTAATTTTTTTGTGTGTAAAAAATATGAAAGGTAATGTGATTCAAAATTAGTTAAAAATTAAAAGCTAATTTTTTTTTTGACTTTCCAAATGACCCCACAGACATGAAAGCAAAAAATAATTAATTTTTAAAATTATTTGAATAAATTACAAATATATTCCTAAAGTTTGATTAAAATACGAATCACTCCCTATGGTTCTGAAAATTATATTCCACTCCTGAGGTTTCTAATTTCATAATAGATTGCCACTTTTATTAATAAATTATCAAATCAATTAATAGGATTTAATGATATTAGAAATATATTTCAATTAATAATTTAGATAATTTTATTATTATATAGGAGAGTAATTATGAATTTTTATTTTTTTAGTTAATTCTGTTAAATAAAAATTTTAACAATGAAGTAGTTATAATTTTTTAAACTACATAGGATAATTTTACTTTAAATAAATTTTAAGAGGTGAAT